AAATTATAATTTTTCAATAATAAGCCATCATTATATACATATATATATATATATATATATTAGTTTATCAAGTTGAAATTATCAATTATTTTTATTATTTAAAAATATATTCTGTTCTTTGATTAAAAAATAAAAATTGAAAATATATCTATAGACCTTAAATAAATTGCGAAAAAATTAAAAATAAAATAATTCAATAAATAATTAAATAAATATACTTTTATAATTTATTAAAATTCCATGTTAACTCCTTTAGCAAATAAAAACTAGCAACTGTATTTATATCTATTTTACTTAAGAACTAGATAATTATTATACATTCAAATTATTTACATAAATGTATAATCTTAAAAATAAAAATTAATATATCAACCTTTTATATTATAATACTTTTTCCAAAGTTTAATGTTTTTTGAAAACTTAAAAATATTATAATCACTTTTCAAAAAAAAAAAGAAAAAAAAAGAATGTATGATATATTTTTTTAATATGTAGAGCTATTACATATTTTTAATGTGACTAAAACTATTATAAATAATTGGTATTAATATGTGATGCTAAATTTTACTTTAGTATTTAGATGAAAATTTTGAAAAGAATTAAAAAGAATTAAATATGCTATTTTTTAAAAAATAAATATCCAAATCGTATTTCAATATTTTAAGTAAGATTTACCGAAAATTTTCTCATTTCTACCAATTTTAATGAAGATATAGAGGCAATGTAAAAGCTAGCAAATATATGTAAATTTTAAAATTGTACTAGTTGAAGATAGTAAAACAAACTTACAATGCAATGTAAAAAAATCATTTTTAGTATAATAAATACATGTTTAAATTTTACTAAATACATGTTTAATACTGGATAACTTTGACTTATGGTATTCATCAAGATTCTACAAGTTTTGTTTTTTTCTTTAGTATCTTTTAAAAATACTTCTAAATGAAAAATAATTATGTTTCTAAATACATCTCCATTGCTAAATATTAAAGTTAAATGAATGGGTAAACTCAAAGGTTATTTAAAAATCGATCCTTACATTTTCAATATTTTCTAAATATTTTCCTAATCTAGAAAATTTAAAATAGATATGCCTATAGAAGCAAAAACCTTTTTGATATAAAAAATTGTAAGCAAATATAATAGATTTACTTTTTTTATAGAATTTTAGTACGGGATAATAAAATAGGTTTTCTTACAATAAAATGAATAAATAATGAAAGTAAGTTCAGATAAATTATACATATAGTATTATTATTATTATTGTAGTTCTATTATTTACTTGTTTTTAAAGTAATTTTGATAATAAAAGTAAATGTTTTAATCTTTTTCAAACTTTCATTTTCTCAGTATAGTATATTATTTCAATGAAGTCAGGATTAAATCCTCTCTTGAACAAAACTTTGATAAAAAAATCACTGAGCTGTGACAAACATATATTATTTCCTTGGATGGATCATTCGAACAGTTTATTCAGGTATTCAAAAAAGTAGTCAAGAAACTTTTCTCCTCTCAGTTAATATTTACATGAACATGTAATCTTCAATTATAGATTATAGATTTCAATTATTTTTTATTATAGATAAATGAATCTCCTTACATCTAATTAAATCATTGTACTATTCAACAAAATAAATTAGAACTATAATATTTTTATGTCTTAATAATGTTGAAATATTAACTATCATAATATATAGTTACTAACTTTTAGGTATGACTTGAGTAAATTATATTTCTACTACAAAATTTAAATCAAATTTTAATTTTTCATGAGCAATGAAATTGCTTGTGCAAGCTTGTAAAGTTCCCAACTTTGACCAAGTTCAAATAATAATAAATATCATTTTTATACTTAATAAATTTATGATAAATTGAAATATTTTTCTAGGGTATTGTCAAATATGGAGTGAAAATCAGACAATGATTTTTTGATGACAAGCCAAGGAACTTCAACAAAACCAATTCCAGGAGTTATCTGTATAATTTTATCATTAAACTTTTACAAATTCAAAATACCACCTCACGATGTGTATGTTGTTGCTAAACGTGTTTTCTCCATAACATATATGTATGTATGTCTATATATATATATATATATATATATATAATTCTCTTAACATGATTTTCACACAGTTTTTTAAACTTGTATTAGAAAAGTGCTTGATGTATATATATATATATATATATATATATGTATATAGTTCTTGTACATATAAAAATAATAATTATTATAATGTTAAAGAAGTGCAGTGCTTGGATAGAAGATTTTAGAGGCAAAGTCAACAGAGATCATCATCTTACCATAAAAAAATATTTCACAGAACTAAAGTGTTGCAACAATTTCAACTGAGCAAGTTTTATACAGTATTAGTTAATTTATTAATGGCAAAGATTGGTGTGGGATATATACCATAGAAGTTAAGGAAATTGTATTATATGGTATGATAGATTCCTTTGTGTATGACTATTGAGTTAGTTACTTGTGCAGTATAAACAGCTTGTGTTTGATTGATTTCCAAGCTCTCAATAGACAAGTCTCTTAAATATCGTTTTGTTTTCATCTTTTATTTTTTTAGATGTAAAATAATGAAAATTGCACATTAAAAGATATTTTGTGTGGCAATGTGAATGCCTTTTTTTATCTCTTTTTGTTCAATGAACTTTAATTTGAGTTCATCTTTCAAATCCATTTCATATCAAACTTTTTTATATTTGATAATTTGAGTGTAACTAGTACATAATTTTAGAAGGAATGTAAGTTTGAGATGGTGCAATTTTTTGATCAAACTAATTCATACTTGAGTGATTGAAATCCAGACATACAGAAACACAATTAAAAGTGAAAAATTAAATTAACAAATGTTGCAGAATTAATTTTAAAAAAATAGTACTGTGCATACATGAGTGATCTTTAAACATTTCACCCATTTGGAGTGATACTTCAAATCTCAGATAAATTTACTACAGAAACTTAAACAAACACCATTTATTAAACTATAATCATCTACACCTGACCAATTTGCAAAATCTAACTTGTGAATTCCAAACTTTGTACATAATGTAAAAACACACGATAATCAATTGAAACTTTTTTCACTAAAAAAGCACGTAAGTTTATTATCTAATTAAAAAAATTAAACAAAACTAAATTTAGAAGGAGATTTTTAAAAAATATATATTGATGGTGTAAATCTCAATGAAAATACATCAAAATTATATATATATATATATATATATATATATATATAAATGTATTTATATAACAAGCCTGTTCATTAAGGTTGAAGTAGCATGTTGAAACTTGTTTATTACACAACCATTTGATAGCTTGCTATAATTACTCGTTGATCACCAAATAATGTAATGACTACAAGGTATTGTAGAAATGTGACAAATTTCTTTAACAAAACTGAAGTTCTATGATATTTTTCCAAAGAATCTTCCAAAAAAAGTACAACCAAACATAATTTTCTAATATTTACTTAAAATTAAAACACATGTATCATACAAAAGCCCTTTATCAATGGCATGGAAAAACACCATTATATACTTGAAATAAAGAATCATAAACACTCTGCAAATCATACACAATCTAAAATTGCATGTCAAGGTACTGCCCAGTATTTCTTTGTAAATCCCTGATCTAGAATTCTACTTATGCAATTGATTGAACTTCTGTAGCCTTTAAGCTGGCGCAGTTCTCTTTGCCACAAAGGAGGATAATTTTTCCTCAAACAAAAAACAATAAACATGTATATATATAAAAAAAAATTCCTTCAACATTTTAAATTATACCATGTTTCTATGCAGTTGTGGTATGATCTTCCACCAAGCGTTACCACAAACTGAGAGAGATGGGTACAGTGAGAAATAGTTTTTTTCCATCCAGGGAACACTTATTGCATGGCAATGCAGCAGATAAATGTCATTATCTGTAACATTTATGCGAAGTTTTTCAACCAGTACAAGACTGAGGGGAAATTTACATATCATTCTGCATGCACAACATTTGCATTCTATTGGGTTCCAGGTACAACCTTCTGCATGCAACTCATCTCTTTACAAGGAAAGAGTCCTTCCTAAGAAGTAGCTACAGAAGAAGAAGAAGATTTTAAAATGATAAATAAAATAAATAAAATAAAAACAGAAAAGGGGGCCTGGAAATCAATCTGTGTGGGTAGTTGGGTCAGACTCTAGGTTTGTCAATCTTCCTTCGTGTGACGTGAACGACGCTTTGATCTTTGGGGGCTCAGAGAGTACGTTACACGAGAGAGAGAGAGAGAGAGAGAGAGAGCAATACTGCCGCCGTGCTGGGCTTGCAGAGATCTGAACGTATGGTGAGTTCCTTCAGCTTTCTGTATTGTCATGCAGAAAAAGAGAGGAATATATAATCATGCAGCAGAAGATATGGATATGCCATGACCAGAAGGGTTGGTTTCTGGTTGAGACGTTGAAACAATAAGAAAACAAACGAAAAACGAACCAAAGAAACAACAAATGACACTTTTGTGACACGAAGAGTTTCTGGGTTCAGCAACTTATCGAATCGTCGTTCAATTGGTGCTCTCCCAACGGTGAATCGCCTTCGAATGTGATTAGTGTGGCCGCGCCATTCCCTACAGCGTTCCTCCGACTCAATGCAACCTGGATTCAAATTTGGAACTTTTGTATCTTGGAATTCATGCCTTCGCGTCTTCAGTGAGTGCTGTGTTTCTTTCTCTTGGCGTTGATGTCATCGGTATGTGCACACAATTTTCAAGTATGGACTACATAACTGGTCACTACTGTCAATGAGGCTGCATAAAGAGTTGATATAGTTACTTAACCAACTAACGAAAAAACATCTCGTCAGCGACGTAAATATTGAAGCGACAATCCTTGAACTGAATTAGCTAGGCATATGCTTGGTGAGCTACCTTCAATATGAGATGTGAAAATCAAATGAAAAGACAAAGATGCAAATTCAAAACATTAATATGAAGCACAATATGAGGAGTCGCTCCACCAACATCCACTAGTTTTTAATTTTCCAGTTCTAGTCAGTTTATAATGTTTGTAAAACACCGTTGAGAAAGTCACGTGTGTTAATAACAGGAGCTGTTACAGTAACAATTACAGATTGAACCCTAACGGCACTCTTTAAAACAGTCACGACAGAAATTGTGGCAATCAAGCGCTATAATCAGTCTCTATATCAAGCACTATAACACCGCAAAAAGAAAACAGTACAAGCTGTTGTACATTTGGCTCTTGAGATAATTAAATCCAAAATTAAACATTGATTGGTACATCCAACTTGGTCTCTACCCAGACGACATCCATTCCGCAGGACAATTATATGTAACACCACTGTCCAGCCAGAAGGGAGGAGTGATCTCCCGAACGCGAACCTGTTTCAAAACACGTTGAATAAGATCATAAGACCAACGACCCGAATGGTTACACCGATCAAGAGTAAAATGGTGAGAAAGTTTCTTCTTCTTATAGGTGAAAAGGTTCAAATAACCACTTAAGCACTGTCCATAAAATTGGTCATCTGTAAGTAAAATAATCAACCGTTTCTTAATGATCATGCTAAATTCCATGCATAGCACTAATCAACCTTTTTGAAACAAACTGCAAAGACATGGAAGTGATGCATCATAGCACATCTACTTTATGATAAAAACATGCGGAAATTTAGGGATTGAACGATGTTTACGTGGTTGTTGATGATGGAGAGACAAATCAAGTAGCAGCAGGAGTCTCATTCGCAAGAAACGGATTTGCAATTTCCTCAGTACCGTCTGTTGGAGCAACCAGCATTACAGCAGTTCCTCTACAAACCTGACACAACCAAGAATGTGTCAGAATGGAAAATATTCAACTTATAATGTTTCGACTTCAAAGGAAAAAGATAAAATTTATAAATCATAGATCATCAGGTTCTGCAGTGGCACCCCAAATCCTTACAAACTTAGCATACAGAAAGACATAAGTAGGAACTTACAATCAAGCCTAATTGTCTCATTTGATCTGTCGTCTTCAAAGGATCATCCGAATCTGCAATAGATGAAAGACCCGATCGGTATGGAGTGATACGCATAAATACACCAACTACTCGGTTTATATATCACAAGGTATCGTGGAACTCAAAACCGGACTGTTACCGGTACATGCATACGAGATTGCGACTAGTGTAACTTCTAATCTGACGTTGTAGCAAAAAACAAATAAACGAGATTTACAAACATGGATATCATCGACGATCCACCAAACGAGTGGGCTCGAGTTTAGATCTATAGAGCACGAGGAAGGGAGACTAAATTGTGGTGCAAGTCTAAACAAACTATTCATTAGCTCTAGGGCAGCACATAAGCTTCTGTGCATACGAACGATAACAATGCAGCATGAAAATTGAGTAAGAAGGGGATAAAGAAAAACCTCACCCCTCAAGTTTTCCGTAGCCTCGTCCAGCACCAAATTCAAAAGCTGATCATATCCTTTTAAAGTTCCTGTCACTGCCAGCCCATTGAAATGTCAACAGAAAAGAATGTTGGAGGCAATACGCATCACAACCCGGGAATTCTATTCAGCTGGCAGCAAGAGTAGCTACAAATGATCAAAGAGAAGAGATGATCGATCAACTACGAAACAACTGTCTTCCAACTAAGAAACAACAGTCCTCCAACTACACCTTTCAAGTCGAGATAGTTGGGAGTTGTCACTTAAGGAAAATCACACGGCCAAGGCGCAGTCCTTTCAGAGAAAACGGCTATAGTTCATCATAAACCCTACTCTCTAATTCGATGTGAAATGTCAAGTGACTGCAGCTACCTTGAGCTTAAATGAACTGACAAGCAGCCAGTACCCACAAACTGCGTTCATGAGCTAACAATTCACAAAGAGTGCCCACATCACCAACATCTAGCAACAATGTGCCCTGCACACATTTCCTCACAATGAAGAATAACCAACCTTGTCGGCCACCACTCAGCTTCACAGATACTCCTCTATCCACAAACTTGGCCAGATCCAGCACGGTTTCTTTTCTTCCCGACTGAGGCCCCACAGACCCACACAACACAAACATATCAACCATCGAAGCATGGAGCGACCCATATCCTTAAAACCCACATCGCAATTGAGTCTTCATGACAACGAAACAGAAACCAAGCGAATAATTCAAACAAAAACACAACCTTCCCAACACACAGACCCCACATTAGGGTTTCCAACACACGAACACATGCAATGCGAATCACCTGAATGCAAAGTTTAGAATCAATCATACCATGTTGGTAAAAATAAAGAAAAAACACAAGCTTTGATGCGCTCAGAGGAGATGGCGATGTGATTGAAAGGAACGCAACACGTGATTCTGCTAAAATCAAACCCGAGGCATAAAACCCTAGAAAACAGCACACCCAAGAGCAAACCCTAAGGGGTCCCAAAACCCCCTTCCAAGGCAAACCGTCTCCGTTTGAATTGAAGCCCCTAGCACATGCCTAATAGATCTAACACATGCCTAATGAATTTTAGATCTAGTAGGCATAAAATGTTACAAGTTTGATACAAATTGTGAGAATAATAGTAATATTAATAATAAATTTATCAATTTAGATGTGATAAGAAATAATTTGTACTTTGTTTTAGTAGTGCATATGTAAATGAAAAGTGGAGATATTAAATTGAGATAAATAGATTACAATTATTTTTATTTTTAAAATTTAATTAATTTTTAAAAAATGAAATCACTTATAATATTTATAAAACTTAAAACTTATTAATTTCAAAGTAGATGAAGATTTTTAAAGGTGAAAAGACATAGAGAATAAAAAATAAACTTACACATACTTTAACCAAATACAAATTTTTCAAGTATGGAAGGCTCTTGTTTTGCATTTTGGATGCAATATATTAAAGTGAATCATGTATGTAAAGTAATATGTAATTTAAGAATGAATAACAATGCAAAACAATGTAACTAAGTACTACACAAATATTTTAAATTAATATCATAAAAATACTAAATGAAATAATATAATTAAAAAATAAATAAACTTACATATATACACAAAGAGAAAAAGATAATAATAATAATAATAATAGTAATTAATAAAATAGCATGTGAACACACACAAGTAATTGTAAAACTGCAACACAAAAGAAATGTGGAATGCAAATACTCAAATCACATGATTTTGGTTTTTGCTGTATTTTGAAATTGTGTATACATAATGCAAAATGGATATTATCAATGTTTTTCTTTTTATTTCAAATTTGAGTTTTATAAATACATTTCGAATTTTGTTTTTGAAAAAAACTTAAGTTTAATCATTTTGAATGAATTTTATTTCATTAATAAATCATTATGTTTCATGATGTATTTTAATTTTATCTCAGATATCATGATATATATAAATATATATAACATTCTTTTAAAATAAAACAACAAAATAATATGAACATAGATCCAATTGAATTAAGCAAAAAAAATTCCACCTCTGCAAATGTGGCATCACATTCTGTATGGATAGAACATGAAGCAAAAGCAAGTTCTTTAGCAAATACTTTGACCATTATGTGCATTTGTTATCAATAAATACCTTTAAAAAGATAAAGAAAGACATAAATAAATAAATCAATCAATCAAAACTATTTTTTTACAAGAAAAGTGTACATCCTTCAAAACTTTCATTCTCCATTTTATAGGAAGCCCATTGATTAGTTGTAAAAATTCTACAAATAAATTAATGTGTAGGTAAATATTTTTACTTCTTTTAAAAAATAGAATACTACTAATGTCATCACAATTTTTGTTATTACCACCACAATCTCATGAAAATTTTAATTAAATTTTGGTAAAAATTTATTTTTGTTATTTTCACCAAAACCATTCCATCATATATATATATATATATATATATTCATATTTATTGGAAATAAATAAATAAAAACTATATAAATATATCAAGTGAATGGTAGTTTGTAGCAGCAGAAGCAAAACATAGTGACATTAGAAATACCAAAATTTTTTTATTTTAACATATAAGTATATATATATATATATATATGTATGTCTTTGCGTACATATGCATATATTTGTATATGTTACATGGCAAAAGTGCATTATGTTTAAATTAGATGATGTTGATGATTGATGTTTTGTTTTTTTTCTTCTTTGAATAAAGTAGCATCCATAACCTTCAAGTTTATAAGTTATTTTTGGTCCAAGTTTATCTCAAAATTATTTTTAGGTTGTATATCTCAACCATCACCACCTTCATTAGAATTCTTCAATTAAACAAAACAAAGCTCTCTTCAACAATAAGTATATTAGTCTTAGCTCCTCAGCTTGCCCTTCAAACAGGTATTACTACTCATGACGGGTATTAAACGTATATTACTGTTTTTCCAACAGTTAATTTTGATAATCAATCACGAATTTTCTTTGTTAGTGTAATTTCTTTCTAAAAACAAACAAAAAGAAGAAGAAAGAACATCCCCCACCGCTGCACCGAAACCCCAACCTCGGCGCAAATCGATGCTGCCGAAGTTCATGCAGACCTGCACATTGGATCCACGCCCTTCCAATTGGAATTGGTGGGTGATGAAGAGATCATAGCGATCTAGCGATCACTTCTGGTGCCATTGCTTTTACAATTGCGCATTCAGTTTAGTTTTTGCTGTCGCATCTCGTGATTCTCCCCATGGTTTTCCCTTGCGTAAGCGCTCTCGGTGGATTCCTTAAGATTACCGCACAGATGTTTAACTGGAGCGGCAAACCATCGCTCCTAATCCATGCAGGCAGCGTCGAGATCGGCAGCAAAGGTATTAAGTTGGCCTAGTTGGGCCTGTCCGACCTGGAACTGATCGACGTTGGGAGTGAGGTAGTAGCACAATTTGGCACGATTAAAATGAAATTGCAAACACAGGATTGTTGGAATGTAAACTACATATCTATCTGGTTGAATCTTCACCTCGTGGAAGTGGTTGTTTCCGTGCCTTCACTCTAGCTCATGAATCGGCCGCAATCTCTTGCTCATCGCTGCAACTTCGACAATTGGGGTGGTTTGAACAGTAACTCGGAGTCATCTCAGATGGGTCACGTTTTCTTCGAATGATGTTTTGCGTATAATTAGTGTTATGAATGGTCAAGAGCTTGAGTAACGCACTGGAAGGGCTGTGGTGCTGATCGAAGTGAAGCTTCGGGCTTCATTAGTTAACCAAAGCAGTGGCAGCCTGTTCTGCTCCATCGTTGGATTGTGAAGAAAACATTAGAAAAAAATTGAGGGGCGTTAAGACAAGAGATGCGCTGGTAAAGTGCTCCAAATTCATGCAAACAGTTGGTTCGATGAATGAGTTGGAATTCGCACGGCGGGCGTCATTCTGAGCTGACATTCCGAAGGTGAAATTATGCGATTGTGGTGACTGGTGAGCTGAATGCGAAGAAACCCGCTAAAGAAATAGATACATGTGCATGGTCAACAGTGGTGTGGGCTTGGAGTTGTAGAAGGCGCCGACTTGCCGATAATTGCGAAGACCATGCCAACGGTACATCTGCATTTTAGTTTTGATCTGAGCTCATTTTACAGGTTCCAACTTCCTCGCTTGGGTGGGCCTATATAGGTATTCAGCTCATCGTACTTTATGCGTGAACCAAGCACCAAGCCTGGAGTTTAATTCTCCAGGTCGTCTTGCCGCCGCTGATAATACTCATCTCCAGAATACAGTATCAGAATTCTCTCCTGATGAGATAAGGTGCCGCATTATAGATCAATGGGAATGCTTTGTCTTAATTATCATTATAAAATATTCTAAGCTTTGAAACTTGTCACAAAATGAGACATTTCAGTTCGTTTTTTCCAACCCAATGTGAAGCTAGCTTCGCAATGGGAGACTTCAATCAGCGATCGGGTTAATCACTTGGTTGCAAGCAGATTTCTAGCAAATGAACAGATAACGTTATATACAACCTTGTACTGTGGAGCTCTGTAGCACCGTGTTCCTTAATCTTCACCAAAGAATTTTATTTACTTTCTGTTTTCATGAATAATCACTCGCTTCTTAATCATCCAGCCGGCAGTCTGGCTTTCGTTGCAATCAGGAATCATTTCTTACGTGATTATTGTGAGTTACCCCATGCTATTACGCACTAATCGACAGAAATCCCTTCTACACCTGTCATACAAGAAACAATATACCAACTCTGCACTGAATAAGCAAATCCTTGGGAATCAGATGCTTGATTATTCATGGGCCACTGTAGATTTCTGCACCGCTGGAGGCATACAACAATAGGATATTATGGCGGGCTTTATTTTGACTTTCTGCACCCTATTCCCGTTTCAGAAAATGAATATTCAAGATATATGAGGTGAAAGTTTATATTGAAGAGAATCATTCACCGTGAGTAGGTATATGTAAGGCGCGGGTTTCCTATAGACTTCAGTGCGCCAATGAAGGTACCCAAAACCATGGAGCGCCGGAGTACGCCCACAATTGGACATTTATCGAATCGATCTGGAGGACAGCATCATGAGGTTTGACTGGTGTCCAAGTGTGAACAACGTGGAACGCTGCCAAAACCGGCTGTAAAATGTCCGACGACGATGGAGACGGATGCGAGCCAATTACCACGAAAAAACAGTACATGTTTCTGATCTCTAGAGCTGCATTTTGATTGCTTGTTTGCATGGAAAGGGGTATCTATTACAATTGTTTCACATCAACGTTAAATTTGCATGGAGTATCTCTTTTCTTTTTGGCAAAGAACGTCTCGATTGCTCCTCAGATTGCAACAAGTATATTTTTTCATGATAAGGACCTAAGCTTAGACACACTGGATGTGCAGGTGGCTGTTTCCCATTTTCTTTCTCCGTAACCCGCGACGTTCTCATGTTTGATCGATATCAGGAAATCAATTTGAGATAAATGTACAGGGACAACACAGCAGTTTTTATTTTTTCCCCCCTTGTTCCCGGTGTCTGCCTCAGGACACAATCTCCTGCATGTGACTCAACAAAAGGTTCATGCTCAAGCATTCGAATCCCTCCACCTCCGTTGATCAACTCAGCTTACTGATTTGAGGGGACTTGTACAACAGTACCACATCTTGCTCCTCGTGAATAAAACAACTTTCGCAATGCTCCCGAGGGCCATCTCATGTCACCCAAACCTAACCAACATTCCTTCCCCATGAACAAACACAACATTCCCTCCCCATGTACACACACACAGCACTGCGAGTTTCACCATATCAAGTCGAAGTGAAACCACCCAGCATCACGGCATCTTCTTCACCCCAGATCCCCATCAACCGTCATCGCAGCGGCAGGTCCAACCCACAAGTTGGGCTTAGGACCAGTGCCTACTAGCACACCTGCGTGGGCGATCCTACGCAAATGGTGCATGCGAGTCCCTCCCCCGAATACCCACCCGCATACTAACATAAGAATAATTATTTTAAATAATACTAATA